TGTATGCAGTGGTTTTGAGCAGAATCGAGTTTTTAGTGATTGCATGCATGGGACTCGGCGAGTCGTTCTTCGGACTCAGCGAGTCGAGTCGCGAGTCCCCGATTCTTCCCTTTTGAGTGATTCCGAGTGGGAACCAGTGAATAGTGGAATGGACTCAGTGAGTTAGAGTTTAGACTCAGTAATGGAAGGACTCGACGAGTTGTTCATACAACTCGGCGAGTCCAAGGCAATCTTCTTAAGATTCAAGAACAACTCGTCGAGTTGTTCATACAACTCGGCGAGACGGATGCAAATGACCTGAGTGTTGGAATAGAATGGGAACTCGTCGAGTATATGCCATACTCGAAGAGTAGCAGCGAGCAGGGTTGATAAATGAGAGTATAGACTCGGCAAGTTGGCGGCCCAACTCGGCGAGTCAGGTCAACTGAAAGTTGACTTTGACCAGGAGAGTTGACTTTAGCCAGGGGTAAAAGAGTCATTTTACCCCAATGCAGTTATTAGTATTTGATTTAGTATATTTTTGGAATTGTAGCCGGGGAGATACCGGAGTAGCAACAAAGAGTTTCCAGAGCCACACACTCAGCAGCCATATCACGAGGTGAGTTTCCTTTCAGTAGGAACGGGTCTAAGGCCACAATGCCGACCCGTTTAGCTAGTAGTAGTTTCCGGACTTAGGTCCGATGCAGATTTTAGTATGTTTGATGCCTTCGTGGCTCAGACAGGATTTATGTGTTATGTGTTCCGGGTTACAGCCCAATGTAGTATGCTATTTATGTGCTCATGTTAGTTGATATGCTTATGTTATGCTATGTTCAGTAGTTCCAGACTTCTGTCCGATGCAGTAAGTTCTGGACTTCGGTCCGATGCAGTTAGTTCCGGACTTCAGTCCGATGCAGTTAGTTCCGGACTTTGGTCCGATGCAGGAGGCAAGGCCTCAGTAGTTCCGGATTTCGATCCGATGCAGAGGGCAAGGCCTTGGTTAGTTCCGGACTTTGGTCCGATGCAGTTTCCGGACTTCGGTCCGATGCAGTGGGCAAGGCCCAGTATGTGTTTATATGTATTATATGGTATGTGGTAGTTTGGGGGAGCTCACTAAGCTTCGTGCTTACAGTTTCAGTTTTGGTTTCAGGTACTTCCGCAAGCAAAGGGAAGAGCTCGGGTTGATGGCATCGCACACACCACAACTTCAGTTGTCCTGGGAGTCGTTTTTAGTTTTTCATAGATGGGACTTGATACAATATTGATACAGTTTACTCATAACACTTTGCTATTGTTTTTGAGATATTGACGTACGAGTTTTACCTTATGATATTATCATGGTGTTTTTAGTAATTATTAAACAAAAATTTTTGGGTCGTATTTTGGGATGTTTCAAAAGGAAGTGTTCAACTCAAGAACAATTTAAAAGATGCTTGAATATTCGAAGATCTAACACAAATATGATGATGTTTGTGTAAGATATCCATGATTTAAGTAGAAAGAAAGAGAAATAATCATGTGAGGAGTAATATTACTTACTAGGAGTAGATGAAGAACTTGTAATCAACCTTGAATTTTCGAGATTAGAGAGGGATAGTGAGAAAGAGAATGACTTTTTGCTTCTTGGTGGAGTGTGAGTGAAATGGGAGGAGAGATGAGAGTTTTCCAGCCTTTAATCAAGAGTATGGCTAGAAAATGGTGGGAAAAGGACAATGGAATGACAAAGTATGGTGGAATAGTTACTGGGGATGAGCATGGAGTGGGTATGGGAGGTAACTTGTGTCCTTGCCTAAAGGATAAGTCAACACTCCGCCTAAATAACTTAGCCACTATATTTTAATATTAGATAATGATTACCCTCAAAATGTGATTAGATTATGAAAATATGGGGCCTTATATGTCAAAATGTAAGTCTGGATGAAAACCCCGCATTAAAATCATGAAAAACTGGCTTAAAACGCGAAAATGGTCGAAAACCGGGAAAAATCAGTGAAGTTGCGAAGATCCGGACGAAGGACCGAGGTTCGGTCCTTGAAATGCTTAGAACCGAGAGTAGTTTCGGTCCGAGAAATCTCCAAGCGAGAAGGGAAGGAAGCGAAGCGAAGTTCAGTCCTGAAGCAGTTTCGGTTCTTCTTGCTCCGACTTCGGTTCCATATGCAGTTTCGGTTCTTAGAGCCATTTTCGGTTCTTAAGACGACCTTCAGTTCCTTGGGATTTGCTTATTAGGGTTCCGACCCTAAGAAGGTTCGGCCCTAAAGGGTTGATTTTCGCGTTAACTCCCCGTTATGCATAGTTTTTGGCTAAGTTAAGAGTCGGAATGCCCCCAAATATTTATATAAGGTTGAGGGAGGTTATGAGAGAGATTTGGGATAGATTTAGGAGAGAGAGGTTGAGAGAGACTTTGTTTGTGACCTTTTTGGATGTTTAGCTTTGCAACGCAACGTTTGTACACCGCGTTAAGCTTCGTTACGATGGTTATATGCCCCCGGGGGTATGAAATAACGTTTCGTCGAATAGTTTCATCACTTATCCCGATTAGGGTTTAAATTTTCCGAACGAATGAATTTTCTAAGTGATAATTTCTTACTAACATAGTGAGTTGTACAATAGAAAAATAGTGTAGGCCCTAATATACAAGGGTTATATAAGTTGTCCGTTCTGACTTGTTGACTTTATTTGACTTTGAATTGATCGGAAATTTAGGGTTGTCACAAAACAACTGTCAATGACAATCTAAGGTTCGCTAAGGATTGGTCACTTTTGAGCAGTTGGAAGTATAGTAATGAATGGACCATATCGACATTATTATGAATTGATAAGACTATATTCACAATGAGTTGTCGTATGGAAAATATGGGAATGTTTCCATATTGGGAGTTGGATATCGAGAATCTATGTATAGATTAGAAACTTTTATGCAAAAATGATGTTAAAAGGAATTTACTTTGAATGTGAGACTTCATGTCTATGGAATTGTATTGTAACAATCTCCAATAGAGAACTTTGTAATTTCAATGGCAAAGTCTTTGTGACTTTGGCTATATGACATTACGAAAGGATCGTTGCATAAAATGTTAGAATCTAGCAGTGGCAAGAATTTGGTATTCTTACAATAGTGATAATGATTAGGAATTGTAAAATGAGCATCATTGGAAATGTTTTCAATTGATATATTTCACAGAGTAAGGACCATATGTAAACATAGTGTGCATGCTTGGAACATGGGACAACTGTTGTTATAACTCAAGTAATAAGTTGATTACCTAAAACATTATACAATGAATAACGTGTAATCAATATGGTGACTACATAAAAGGAGTTTTATTTATACTCAAAAGTTTGGGCCATATTGGATTCGATTATTCTTGTGTTTCACTTTGCATGTTTTGACTTCCAAAATAACTAGGTTATTAAAACCATCTACAGTCGATCATACTTTGGAAGTAGGTATGAAAGAAGATTGTCATGAATCCGTCTGTAGATTGTCTAAAGTTTTTAGACATAACACAAGTTTGCTGCAGAGTTCATGAGTGCTCCTATAAGATTAGAGTATTGGATTAAACTCACGCTCACTTGGAACGCTTCATGGATTTCATCACGAGTGATTGGTGAGATGATAATATCTTATATTATTGAAACCGAGACATGTGAGTTGTATTCTGCAGGTTGGTTGCACATTGATAATATGCAAACGCATCAGTAACTTGGTGTTATAAAACATATTGTTGTGCATAATTTGATGAGTATGTACAAACGAGCATTTAAGTCGAACTTTATCCGTTCCTTTAACCTAAAGTGGGATAAAAGTGATATATGTGGTCCCCTCGATGATTTAGTGATGACACCCTAAGCGCTTGGCGAAGCCGAGACTAAGTTGATGTGTTCAATTGTAGTATGTTGTCGGTCGTCATAAATCGAAAATCGGGAAACAACACGTAAAATGAGAATGATTATAATCCACGTCTCATGTCTATACGATATCTATAATGGAGGAATATATGATCCCTTATCTAAAAGACGCGTACTGATAAGATCAGAGTTGGCAACGACTTTTGAAAGCTACGACTGCTGATCAGGATCCAAAGTCGTACTTGAAAATAGTTATTAGACTTATCCAAGTGGGAGACTGTTGGATTAGGTGTCTAAGCCCATAACTATTTTGGTATTTACTTGACCCGATTACGAGCATCATCATTTTGGGTTGCCTTCACCATAGCAACTGACAAGATGAATTAAGGAGAAAGAGGATTAATTATGATTTATTAATATATTATATGAATAATATATTAAAAGAGAAATCATATTTTTTAATTAATATTAGTCAATAGTTAATTTTGTGGTTAAAAAAAATTAATTAAATAAAGGGGTCTGATACTGTAATTATAAGATAGTTCCATAAATGGGCTAATATACTCTATAGAAGTTGGAGTGGACGAAATCTACGGGGAAACCCATAAGAATTTGTCCAAGGCCTATAATGAGGGAGTCTATGGGCTGCTTGGAGTTTAAGCAGTCAAATTAGGGTTTCCTTGTTTGATAACCCTAATAGCCTAACTATATAAGAAACCCATAAGGACCCAAAAACGTGGCTAAGTAATCCATAAGGGTTCTTGGATGTTTTTGTGCCTCCTCCTCCTTCTCCTAAGTCATATTGTTGCTCATGATGCTTGTGATTCCGTTAGAGATGCAACATTTGAGGCATAAAACTTTCTAGATTCAAGATCAAGGAGATTTGTGATTGTTATTGCTACATAACAATCAAGGTAAGATCTAAACCCTAATTCATATGTTAATTCGATTATTGTATGCTAGATCAAGGGTTTATGGGATTTGGATGATTATTGCATGTTCGTTAGACAAACTAGATCCAAAGATTTAGGGTTTGCATGTACACCATATGATTGATGTAGTGTTCAAAACCCATTAAAAGAGTGAGGCAAAATGATCCATATTGGTGCTTAAATACTCCATATACCCTAAAAATTAGGGTTTTCACCCGGACACACGTAAGCCCAACGTACATGTGTATGCTCGACGTACTAGGGCGTGCCCTAGTACGCTTAGCGTACCCACATGTATGCCTAGTGTACAACTCAAGCTCCTAAAAAATTACCAATTTACCATTAGGGCTGATTAGGGCTAATTCTAACTAATTTCAAGGACCAAAATGACATATTTAAATACCGACAGAAGGATTCGAAAAGACCTGAAAGCCCAGGATGTTACAACTCTCCTTCACTTGATATAGACTTTATCCTCGAAGTCTGCTGCAACAAACAAATCCGGGTGATGCTCTTGCATCTCGGCCTTTGGCTCTCAGGCCCACTCGGAGCCCCTCCAATGCTGCCATCGTACCTTTACCACAGGTACTTCCTTGCTCCGCAAAACCTTCACTTTTCTCTCCAAAATAGCTACGGGCCTCTCAACATAGTTCAGACGCTCATCAATCTGAATGTCATCTAATGACACAACCGCATCCTCATCCAATACGCACTTCCGTATGTGCGAAACATGGAAATTGCTATGGATCTTACTGAGCTTTTCTGAATAATCTAATATGCATGCAACCTTGCCAACCTTGACTATAATCTGGAAAGGTCCAATATATAGTGGACCCAATTTCCCATTTTTCCTAAAGCGAATCAAAGCTTTACAATGCGAGACTTTTAAAAACACCATGTCACTAACCTGAAACTTTCAGCAAAAGCACTTTAAAAAGAATACTAATGATATATATATATATATATATATATATATATATATATATATATATATATATATATATATATATATATATATATATGGTACGGCAATTCCAATAAGTTTATGTATTACTGTGAAGTGTGATTGTGTTTTACTTGCGAAGATAAATAGCAAAAGCGTTTGATTAGCGAGGGTCATTTGAAAATTGGTACTTTTATTCAACTTCTTGAATACACATTGAGCTCCCGCCACTTGCCAACATTCCTCCGCCCCTCGCTGTTTTTCAAACAATTCAGTTCACAGTCGTTGTCGATTGTACGATTAACAAGCCCCCGCTGGTTTATATGAGGTGCGTAAAACGTTCAATGATGCACAAAATATACGAATGAATCCCTGTTTTATATGGATCTGATGTACTCAATTTACAGTTTAATTCATATTTTTTGTTCAATTTTACATACAAATTCCAGTTCTAGGTCAATCAATCGTTTGATTTGGGGAATTCGTAACCTTACTTTATTTTGATTCGATCTGATGACGAACTTTATAGTTTGATGTTCGTTGGATGATGCCAATGCTTGCTGTTCTTATCGTATGAATCAACCTCGTTGTGAACTTTTTGAGCGATTGCTGATAATTCCCTCCTTTCTTCTGTGTAATTCATTCAGATTGTGGTTGGCATCTAAAGGCTCTAAAATAATCAATAGAGATGTATGTCCGAATATTAATTTTGAAACCCTAATTTATATAATTATGTTACTGCTCATTCTATGTGTATATATGCGATGCACATAGAGATTCAAAGCTTGGCAAGGAACTGTAAAGCCCTCTTGACAGAGAAAATATTGGTTTCATGACTGTACCATGTCATCTTGTTAACATGATACATACATATGTTTTCTTTTCTACTTAAATTCAAATGGTGGAAAGAGATAGAGAAGGAGGGTAATGCAACAATTGATAAGAAAATCTCATCTGTTATTGTATGAAGTTGTGTAAACTATACTTCCTCTATGTAAAAGGGACCACTTTCTACAAAAAATAGGAGTTGTTGCTCACTAACATAAAAGTTTTGATATATATATCAAAATACCTAAGTATGTTTCGTTAAGTTCTAGGCATAAAGATGCACTAACCTATGCTGGGCAACCTTAAATGCCAAAACCCGAATGCTATTTAGTTATTTTGCCCCTAATTTGTGACTGATATTGTGAGTAGGAAAGAACATTACACCATTTAGAAAAAAATTCAAATTAGTTAAAACTTAGCAGAAGTTGCTTACACAGCAGATACCCAGTGAAATTAGATGGTTTATGACAAAATGTACATTATTGTGATTTTTTTCAACATAATTATACATCATAATATGAGATTTCTTTGTATTGAATAGGCAACTTACATATTGCACTCTTATCAAGCTTTTTTTGTTTTTTTTGTTTTTGTTTTTGTTTTTTTTTTTGTCTTTTTTTTGTAATAGCACATATGCACTATTCAGTTTTTGATATTTTCATCTATCACTACATCCTATGACCTTTTCACTTTACGTTATCTTGATTTCTGAGTGTTTTTCAGCATGTGGACATTTATTATATGTATACATATACTCATGTATCATCCACAAAATTTATAAAGTTTTTAAAGATTTCACATAGTCAATAAATCTGACGTTTCAGTACAGTTTTTTTTCCCACCTTTAGGTAAAACAAGGCGGGATAGGGTATTGTCAGTACAAAAGACATAAATACCCTCCTTGTCCTCAACTCCTCATAATTGAATACAAAAGCTTTATATGTTGATAATAAAGCTTGGATATCAGGATGATGAATTTATCACTTTCTAATTTCTATTTACAGCAAAACAAAGTTGCCATGAAACCAATCCTGCAGAGAAAAGGAATTATAGCTCAAGCAGGCAAGCTCATTGGTGGGACAAATAAAGTGAAAAAAGCCACAAACAGACAAAAAAAGTCTACACAGAAAGCATCAGGTCACTCATCTTCTGCAACTTTATTCTTGAAATCTTGATTAATGATGTTGTACTTTAAGCTTCTAATGCTTTGTATATTGTAACATTGATTATTGCATTAGAATCAATATTAGGCATCTTACTACAATTTGTCTATTTTCTTTCACAGTTTCACTTTACTATGTTAGTTTTCTTGATAAGGTTAGATGCAAGAAATAGCAATGAACTTTCATTGGTTTGTTTTATATAAAGTTTCTACTTTCATCTCATCATTTTATAACATTGTAATTTGAATATCCACCCAATTTTAGCAAATTCCATTAAAATACAAAATAATTTTTCAATGTATAATATTCAAAGCAATGAAAGTACACTGCTATCTGTTGATAATATGAGCATGTGTTTAACCTTTTAGTACTGATACAGAAGTACTCAGTCAGCAGCTTTCAGTAAGTGAAGCATCTACAAAAACTAGAAAAGAAGTAACAACGTTGGAATTGAAGAGTGGAAAAGTTGTTGATCCTTCAACAAAAATTAAGCTGCAGCTTTTTCCAGTTGATGAAGTTACTCGAATAGGATTAGAGAAGGTGAGTTTAGGGTGTTTGGTTTGCTGGAATTGGAATTCAATTCCATTCCATTACAGAACTGTATTCCATTCAACTTCACAATATCCATGGATTTCAACTTTCCATCCTAAAATTAAAATCCATGGAATTCCAAGCATTTTCTTCTTGTTAAAAATATACAAATACCCTTCTTTTTTAAAAGTATGTATTTTGAATGTTAATAATTTTTTTTTTGGGTTTTATGCAGAAAAGTCCCATTATTTTGGGAAATTTTTTGATAAAGTTTTAATTTTTTTTTTGAACAGAAAAGTCCTGATTATTTAATATTTTGCCAAATTAATGAAAAAGTCATTATTTTTATTTTAACAGGAAATGACAGATTACTGTGTAAAATTAAATAATCTGGACTTTTCTTTTCTAAAAAATAAAAATTTAGGACTTTATCAAAATTTTCCCCAAAATAATGAGATTTTTCTGCTTAAAACCCTTTATTTTTAACTGAAGTTAGTTTTTAGAATAAATATTTTCAAAAAAATAGCGTTTCCATCTTAATACGTATAGCTTCTTCTAAAAATAGCTTTAAAAAAGTTTCGTGAGCAAGAAATACAAAAAGACAATGTAATATTTTTTACATGTATTTTATAAGTCATTTTCAATCACATATATTTATAAAACAAATAAAGGGAAATTTCTATCATTTGCCTATATTTGTTTTCCAAATTCTTGGACAAATTTAAAAGGATTGGAATTCAATTCCATTCCAAATGCATCCCATATTTCAATTCCTTCAAATTCCAACTTCTTTACTAGATTTCACTTCTTTCCAAAACATTCTACAACCCAAATGCCAATTGAACTATTTATATTTATGTCAATAATACAAAACATTTCTACAGGATGCTCTTAATCCATTCCTTGAACTCACACTAAGAGCTAGAAAGAAGATATCATCTGTTATCAACCACATCCATACAAAATGGGGTGCTTCAAGCATAGCCATAGGGGAACCCATGCTTTTACCTTATGAATCACACCTCAGACAACACACATCTATTACTACAAAATGGACATCAAAGGACACTTCTATTACTGCTGGAGATGTTTACACAGCTCTAGAAACTCCTCCTGTATTCCGCTTAAGGTTTGACCTTCATTCCCTTTCCACTGCTAGCTTCTCATTCTCATACGTTGGAATTGGAATCGCTGATTCCATTTGAACTTTGTAGTTTTAAAAATAACTGAAAAAACAATGTTTCATTTTTCGTAGTTATGGCTGGTTCTCTGATGATGAGCCTTCAGGGATTTCTCCACGTAATTGTGTAACATCTGAAACCATTCAGAAACATATCGAGACTACAGAAGAAAAGAAGCTTCTAGAAGCAACAGCTGAAATAGATGATACCGAGCATGTGGTAAATATATTCCTTTCTATCATCACCCTTCCCCTTTAGGCCCCATTTTTATGCTCTTGCTTGTGTTTTTGTTTGTAAAAGACGTGAATACCCTCCTCCTCATCTTCATCATGTGAATTAGCCCTAAAAAGCTTGTCCAATTATATGTGTATTTTATACAACAATGTTTCACCTTTTTTTTTTTCTCTTGATTTTTTTTGTGTGAACAGGATGAAAAAGTCAACATGGGTCAAAGCCATGAACGGTCAACATCACCATGGGATGATGAGTTGACCAATTTGAGCATAGGTGGACTTGTATCCGAACACTCGGTGCCTCAAAAGACTTCTCTAATCACCGATATAAGCATTGGTGGGCTTCTATCAGAAGCATCATTACAAGGAAAACTACAACCACAACCACAACCACAATTTAAATGGGATGATAGTTTAACTGCTTTAAGCATTGGTGGACTTTTATCAGAAGCATCTTTACAAGCCAAGATGAATAAATTTGATCCAAAATCATTCATTTCTGATTCTTTCGATGCCATCATCTCTTCACAACAAATGAAAAACGATCCTCAACCTCAACTCTCTATATTGGATGCTGAACAGACTTGTAATGCCTTTTCCTTCCGCAAATTCTCCTCATCTACCAAAAATGTTCGTGTCAGTGTTGCTAGAGCTACTCATGATTCTAATTCAAATTCCTTCAAATTCCCCGGTCTTCTAGAGGTTTCTTTTTTTTTTTCTTCCCTTCATTGACAACAATGCCAAGCCAAACAATTTACAAGGCCGTGCGTAATAGACGGCCTTGTACTGTGTTTGGCAGCTGTCGCTTGGTTATCAGACAGAGTCTGATAACCAGCGACGACAGGCGCCAAACACAATACAAAATTTACATTCTTTTTGTCCTGCCCAAAACGGTGGGACAGAGACTTGCTTTCAGTCTCTTGTATGTGCAAAAGATGGAAATGACCAAAATAGCCCTAGAAAGGTTGTGGAATCACCTATGTGACATGAATTAGTTATCTTTGTGTATAGGGGGACAGACAAGCTGCGAATGCTGAAGATACTTCTGGTCCCCAACAATATAATGAAGACAGCAGAAGCCTTGGGCTAAGAGGCATAAACTGGGTATAGAATTTTATTTATTACTATTCTTATTTTAATAGATGATGTCATAATACCACCTATATAGCATTTTTTAGCTAATCTTGTGATTTTACTTTATTGGTACAGAATGAGTCTTTAGGTCCCTTTGATCTTGGCAACTCAATGCCATGGAAGATTTGAGTAAGTTCGTATGGATAGCCAGCAAAAAGTTGCATCAAATTTAGGTAAATTTAAAATGTATAAAATTGATTCATGGGACTTTTATACAACTTTCTTAGAATCATTTTGGAGTGGATTTCTATAAGTTTTTAGTTTGTTAGTAGATGTTATTTTGGGACTACAATACGTATCAAATCCTTTTTGATATAGAAATGGACTTAAAAGAGTTTGGAAACACTAGTACTACTTCTAGCAGTGATTTCTTCTGATTATTACATTTCATATTTTATGGTGGGTTTGGTTATCAAATAGATGAAATTCATTTTCAAATTTCATATGTGATGGATTCTTAGCACTTATGGTCTTGATCTAGATTGGAATTTATTCTCAACAATACTTGTATTATTGAAATTATTCTGATGTGGGTAGTACTTTATTAACAACGCAAATTATGAAGGCAATTAAAATATCAAAATGTAGATGTTTTATTGTTTGTATAGCAATGATTATGTCAGCTTACTGATTTTATGAGCACGTAAACATTAAGATATTCTTTGTGATTGGTTGGTAATAATGGTGGATTGTAAGATAATAGATTGTTTCAATAGTGCGGTTAAACCTTATATAAATAGGGTTACATAAGAGATCTAATCTAAACCTTAAAGGGTTTGGGCCTAAACTCTAATCACTGACATCTCCCTGCAGTTTGATAGGGAGGGGACGATTAAACTGGAAAAACAAAAATATAAAACATAACATAAATGAAGACAATGACAATGGCGGTGGTAGAGCTCTAACGATAACGACTAATTTTGGCGAGATCGGCGATTGCAATGTTGATAGAGAAAGAAACGACTACAGATCAGAGGTTGCCCCGTAGAGAAGGTGCCATCGGAGAGAGGCAACTGCAACATCCGAAGGGGTTGCATTGGAAAAGAGATCTGAAGAAGTGGCCAGACTAGGAAGAGGTGGAAGGTGAAGAGGTAGAAGTAGATGAGTCAGTAGAAGAAGCTGATGAAAGAGTTTTGGTTTGGTGCCATCTGACTGTTTTATTATTTAGGCGGAGAAAAGAAGAAACGGAAAAATAAGAAACATAATGACGACACCTATTATGACTATTAGAGAAGGTCGTTGGAGGTGGAGGGCGGTGGCTACGGGCTGTGGTCAGATGTAAGGTTTTAACCTAGAACTCTGATACCATGTAAGATAATAAATTGTTTCAGTGATAACTAGTAAGGTTAAACCTGATATAAATAGGGTTATATAAAAGACCTATTCTAAACCATAAAAGGCTTGGGCCTAAACCGTAATCACTAACATGGATAATACTTTTTTTATTAACAAAGCAAGTTATAAAATCGAATAGATTGTGAGTAATTACAAAATCAAAACTGATGTTATCATTTTTTTCTTATATTTATTGTCTTATCAATTTAATTTTATGTGTTTTAAACTTTGCTGTATTAGATAATTGTTGGTACCAATGACTTCTGGTCTAGCTGGGAAGAGGTACCGGGTTTAATACCCACGTGGGGTCAAAGGTCGGGAGTTCAATCCCTGCAAAACCCAATTTGGGTGCCTCTTAAACTTGTGCCACATGTGGGGAAATTTTCACTGGAAACCCCTATGAGGGTTAGGTTTGCCCTATAAAGGAGCTCGAACCCGGGGTGCTCGTTGAAATGTGCGAGTAGGCTTCCAATTAATCATTGCCGTTTCCAAAAAAAGATAATTACTGGTAAAGTTTGAAAACACATGTTTGTAATTTGTAATATTTTAATGAAAGAAAAATCTGTGATTGGAAATGAGGAGATCCTCATTTCCCATTGGGGATGATGATAGGGTTGAATTTTTATTCCCTTGTTAGGTTAAGGATATAGATTGGTAATTTGTTAGTGTTAGCATGGGGAAGATGGAAGGAGTTTAGTTTATTCTATTTTTTTTTAAAAGGTTAAAATATTAGTATATTAACAAAAGGTTAAAGAATTAGTATATTGATAAACTAACAACATCTGGGATTAAATTTAATAAAAGTAAGTCATTTTTTGGTATATCTGCAAAAAAAACACTACTTGTTAGACCTGTTACCAATCCGTTTAGAAATAGTTGATTAGCAAAATATGACGGTCAATATTGAAATGTTACTTGTTTTTTTTCAATTTTATGGTGAGAAGCCAAAAATAATGTAGTCCGAAATGTGAAATCTTAATTCCGAATACAAATAACTACTATAGTTCGAAATAACATTGAATATTCAAAGCAGAAACCATATAATGCTCTTTCAAGTCTTAGATACATTTAAAAGATAGTTTTATGGTGAGAACAACAAATAGTCACGTTGTACTCCAAAATGTTGTGGAAGATTACTGTTTTTTTAAAGAAAAATAAAAGATTAAACTAACTATTTCAACATGATGATATGTACGACACTTCTTTTGAACATGTCTCAAAAACATAATCTTGGTGCAATTATTATTGGTAAGTTACAACACTTACTAACATGCGAGGTTCTAACCAACAATTGTGCTTTGATAGGTGGCTGAATATTCAAGCCGGCATAGAAGAAAGACCCTTTCTTTATACATTATGTGTACATATAACCAAATTCATTACAATTTGCAAAATATAAACCTTAAACTATAACGAAATATAATACATTCCGAAACATTCCCTAAAATAATAAAATGAAAGATATAAATAAATACATAAGGGTATGACAATTATTCAAGTATAATAGGGACTAAACCAGGATCATACCAAACCATAAGGTTGGTCCAATTTAAAAAAAAAAAATAGGTACTAAACATGTACATTAACTCAAACCATAAGGATTATTCGTATAATTTACTCAAAATATTATTATTATAGATATAGATATAGATATTCTCTCATCTTTGAAAACAGCAGGTACCGGTATTGAGGTAGATGGTGAGGATCTCAATTCTCAAACGGTTTCGGGATGATGACAGCTTTCTGCGCCCGCCAAATCCAAAGAAGAATTTGTTCCCTAGCACTCAAAACCCCCCTCGTAATCACAGCCCCAAATCCGATCCCAACGTCAATGGATTCCGTTTCTCGTCCTTTTCCCCATCAGCCGGCCTATCCATCATCAACCCCTTGTCTTTTCCTTCGATTCTTCTATCCAATACTAACTTCACCCAAGTTAGTGTGTTCCCATTTTGCCAATCATCATCATTATCCTTGTCTTCTCACAATCTTGCCTTTACACGCTTTGTATGTTCATAGCATTGCTGTTTGTTCAACAGCGGCATCAATGATGCCTTGAGAAGTCAGTGTTTAGTGCTCTTCACGTACTCGGTACTCCAAAAAAAATCCCACGTATGGGTTGCGTTCAGGGAAAGCCCTCACCAACTTATAATCGTCAACCGTCTCGTGGTGGCGGCGGCGGCCTCCATAAGTTGAAAGCTGATAATGGGTATGTTACAGGCGGAATTGGGGGAAAACCCAATGTTGCACAGAAACCGTTTGTTGAAATGCCTGTGAAGCAGAATAGTGTGAAAAAGAATAATAATAATCAAGTTGATGATGGTAATACGAGGAAGGAAGGAGGAGGTCAGAATGATATGAAGGTTAATCGAGAAGGAATTGGGAATGTTTCTCAGAGAATTGTTGTTGGTAAGAAGATTGGTTCAGACGATTTAATTGATGGATGGCCTAAATGGCTTGTTGATAATATTCCAAGAGAAGTTTTGGCTAATCTGGCATCTAAAACCGCTGATTCTTATGATAAGCTTGCTAAGGTAAGTACTTAATCTTGACTAAATCGTTTCAAATATGTATTCTCTTCTTGATTCACATTCATTATCAAAAAGTTTCTTTGTGTTGTGATTGTAGATAGGTCATGGAACATATAGCAATGTCTATAAAGCTCGAGATAGGGACACAGGAAAGATAGTTGCTTTAAAGAAAGTTCGTTTTGACACATCAGAGCCAGAAAGTGTCAAGTTTATGGCAAGAGAAATTATCATTTTACAGAAACTAGATCATCCAAATATTATCAAACTTGAAGGTCTTGCAACATCTAGAATGCAATATAGTCTTTATCTAGTCTTTGAGTACATGCTATCAGACTTAACCAGAGTTATTTCTCGTCCAGAAGGAAGGTTAACAGAACCACAGGTCAACCTTTAACACTTTCATCCTATTAAAACATTGTAATTTGAAAAATCTATCCATTTATAGCAAAGTTATACATATACAAAACAATTTTCATTGCTATAATTGGATTTATTTTTCAAACTAGTTGTGAGACTCGTGTTGATTAAAAAAGGTTAAGAGATAATGCACTAGGGGAACATAGTTTAGATTGTGTATGTATTTAGTCACTTATGTTTATTTTTCTACATATTTAGTCATTTATGTTTTTTTTTTTGTACATGTTTAGTCACTTATGTTTTATACTTTGTACACATATGACTATTTACTATGATTGTCAGATGTGTACCAAATAAAAAAACATAAGTGATTAAATATGTACAAAAAAAAAAACATAAATGACTAAATGTATACAAAAATAAACATAAGTGACTAAATAATATGCACACAATCTAAACTATGTTACCTTTTTAGTGTATTATCCCAAAGGTTAAATATTAAGGTGTAAACATTAAGCATGTTTAAAGTGAAATTTTGAAATAAATACGATAGAAATGATGAATAAGTAAATACTTTAATGTATACAAAAAAAAAAAAAACTATTGACGTATTTTAAAGAAGTGTCCTGAATCATAAATTTCTTAAGACTTTTTTGAATTTGGGAAGGGACAACTGCAATAAAGTTCTTACATATTGACCTCATAATCGATTTAGTCTTTATATCTTTTTTTTATTCAATTAAGTCCCAAAAACCAATAATCGTATTCAATTTAACTTTTTACCAGGTCAACATGTCATCCAACTTTCAAAAATTACATTTTTGGCCCAGATTTTAAAATTTGTTACAAATTTGGTCCAAAATTTACACTTTTGGCCCATATTTTAAATTTTATTACAAATTTGGTCAAAAATTTACCTTTTTGGCCTAAATTTTAGAAATTTGTTATGAATTCATCCCAACTTAGTTGTTTTTACAACTTTTTTTCTCAAAATTTTTTGTTTTCAATATGTTTTTTCTTTATAAAATCATATTTATAAAAAAAACATATTTTCACATAAAAAATCTTATATTTTCTATATAAGAACTTTTTAATTTTTTTTTTTGTATATGAAATACCTATTTATAAAAATAGTTATTAAGTACATAAATATATATAAATCCGTTTTTATAAAAAAAATGTATACATATATGTATTTTACAAAAACAAAATGCATACGCACACTTATTTTATTATAAATGCATTTGTATGCAAACACATATTTATACAAAAATATATACAAACACCTATTTCATAGTAAACGTATACATTTTTATTGTAAAAACATATTTATATGCGCCCAAATAAGTGTTTGTACACATTTCTTTTATAAAAACATATATATATATATATATATATATATATATATATATATCACATAAACAATAAACAATAAGTGTTTGTACACATTTCAATTAGATTTTTTCCAAATGCATTTTATGGGTTTATTGTCTTTTATTATTTCCTTTGTTTATTGTTTATGTAAAAGTGAATCAATTATTGAATTTACAAGGAAATTGAGTCAATTACTGGGTTTTTGAAATTAAAAGACATGTATCACATAAACAATAAACAAAGGAAATAATAAAAAGGCAAAAAACCCATAAAATGCATGTGGAAAAAAAAATCTAATTGAAAATAACCATAAAACAACATGTGCCAAAAAAGATTCTCATTTATCAGTATAGATAAACAATATTATAACAGGAAAAAAAATCGAAAGCACAATGCTATAAATGGTCAAACGGACAACTTTCTTCAAAATAAACGCCTTAATAAGAAAAAAAAAAGAGAAAAAAGCCACAATGCTGTAATATAAAGAAAATGGAAGTAGTATTTGTTTTTTGCTATTTCTAACACATCCCCTAAGAACTTTTGTTACAGAATTTGATTTATTTTGTAAAAAAAAAAAAAAAAAAAAAACAGGTGAAGTGCTATATGCAGCAGTTGCTCTGTGGTCTTGAACACTGTCACGAAAGAGGGATTCTACACAGGGACATTAAAGGATCAAACTTGTTGATAGACAAAAATGGGAAGCTAAAAATAGCGGATTTTGGGCTTGCAAATTACTACAATCCAAAGCAGAAAAAACCTCTGACAAGCCGAGTTGTGACACTTTGGTATAGAGCTCCAGAATTGCTGTTAGGCACTACAGATTATGGAGTTGGAATTGATCTTTGGAGCACTGGATGCCTATTGGCTGAAATGTTTGTTGGTAGGCCCATTATGCCAGGAAGAACAGAGGTTACTACTTAATACAACTTTTCTTTTTCACAAAAAAATAAAAAATAAAAAATCGAATTTTTGTTCCTGAACGTTAGGACTTGATGTTGAAAACTGAAAACTGTTTCCCTGACTTTATCTGTTAAGTCGTTCTTTTTGCTTAGCTTAACCTGAAATTTTTGACGATATGTTTGTTCATTTTTCCGATTTGGATAAATGATGTTTTTTTTTGGGGGGTTAATCTTGTGAAAAACCTTATATTTTGTGTTTTTTACAGATTAAATCACAATTTTATTTGTTTCATGAAAAAGACCTTGTATTTTTTTGTTTTTTCCGGGGTTAATCTTAAAAAAGAGCTTATAATTTGTGTTTTTTTTCGGAATAAACATCAAATTCATTTTTGGCCTAAAAAAAACATTGTATTTTTTATTTTTATTTTTATTTTTTTTTGTAAAAGCCCTCAACTTTGTATTTTTTTTTCTGAAAAAAACCCGCAACCTTCTAAATGCTTCCAGATAAACCCTCAACCTTTTAAGTTTTTCTCGAAAAAACCCTCACGTTTTACAATTTTTTTTTTTGGAAAAAAATGACTAAAAGGGCCAGATTGAAAAAATGATAAAATACAAGGTCTTTTTCAGGCAAAAAAATAAAATAAAATTGAGGTTTAATCCGTAAAAACATAAAATATAAGGTCTTTTTTGAGATTAACTCTTTTTTACGACTTGGACCTTTTAGCCATTTTTTTTTTGGGAGAATTTCATATATGCCCCTCTTAAACCTCAAAATATCATATTTGCCCAGCTTAATTTCTTAATATCATATTTACCCTTCATAAACCTTCAAAATATCATATTTGCCAAAATCCTTTTTTATAATGTTTTTAATATTTTATAATCATTTTTTAAAACTTAAAATTACTATAATAATTAAAAATTTTAACGATATTATCCTTACGTCTATGATAATGAAATGTGAACTTCTAAATCGTTGAATGTCAGTCCTCTTGACAAACAAAAATATTCATCTTCAATCATCTCTATGGAATCTATATTTTGATTGTTTAGTTTTTTTGTTGTAGATGAAGGATATTTTAGATATTACCATTGATATTTGATGTTTAAAAAGTGCATATACGATATTTTGATATTTAAGAAGGGCATATATGATATTTTGATGTTTAAAAAGGACATATATGATATTTTCGAATTTTATGAATGGTAAATATGATATTTATAAATTTTATGAAGGGTAAATATGATATTTAGAAATTAAGTTGGGTAAATATGATATTTTGATGTTTAAGAAGGGCATATATGAAATTCTTTTTTTTTTTTTCCAAAACAAATTGTAAAATGTGAGGGTTTTTTTTTCTTCAGGAAAAACTAAAAAAGTTTAGGATTTTTTTGGACACATTTAGAAAGTTGAGGGTTTTTTCTTTTTTTCAAAAAAAAAAGACTAAGTTGAGGGCTTTTTCGGAAAAAATATAAGGTCTTTTTCATAATATAAATAAAGATAAGGTTTAATCCGGGAAAAACACAAAATATAAGGTCTTTTATGAGATTAACCCTGAAAAATATTTGAGTTTGGAGAAAAACGGATGGAAAAAACAAATCCGGGCAAATTTGTAAAATTTTAGGACTTAATGAGGAAAGTCAGGGAAACCCTTTGTTTATTCAGGCGTTATTTCATATGAAGTACATAAGAAGCATCCATATTCTACTTTGTCCTCATTAAGTCCATTAAGTCAAAAACAAGAAAGTTTTTTTTTTTTTTTTTTTGGTAAGTGCTACGCTGATAAATTGTTGTCTGGATAAATATATATTTTATAAAAAGTTAATGTGAAAAGTCTCTTTTTCCTGGCTTTCTCTATTAAGTTGTTCTTTATGCATTAAATAAATAAAAAAAAAAGAATCACGTTCCCATTAAGTCCAATAAATAAAAAAAAAACAGTAGGCTAAATACTTATCATTACAGGTTGAGCAGCTTCACCGGATCTTTAAGCTTTGTGGGTCCCCTCATGAAGACTACTGGAAAAAAATCAAGCCACCAACAACCTTCAGACCACCACAAAACTATGTTCCAAGTTTTCAAGAAGCTTTCACAAATTTTCCCTCTTCTTCTTTTGGCCTCTTGACCACACTTCTGGCTTTGGACCCCGAATCCCGTGGAACTTCCACTTCCGCCCTCCAAGACAATGTCAGTTTAAAAAAAAAAAAAAAAAACATATTTTGCTTTCACGTGGGTCCCATTTAACTTTTTTTACTTGATGTTTGACAGTTTTTCTCTTCAAGTCCATTAGCATGCGACCTCTCGGGTTTGCCTGTTGTAAACAAAGACGAGGATGTCCCGATGCAATTCCATGATGGAAAGAAGTATGTAATGTTTCCCCTTTTGTGATTTTTACATGTGATTTATGCAAAAGACGTTAATGCCCTCCCTCAACCTCTTTGTCAAAAAAATAGCCATAGAAATCTTGTCCGGTTGTGGGATGGGACTGGACAAGCTTTCTAGGGCTACGTTGAGGGCGTTTACGTCTTTTGTGCAGACGAGAGATTGAGAGCGAGTCTCTGTCCCACCTTCAGGGTGGGACAAAAAATTCAAAATTCAAAATTCAAAATTCTGCTCTCTCTCTCTCTCTCTTAAATTTATTTATGTGTAACAAATGGAGCCTTAATACGGTTATTGTCGTATTCATTGGACAATAAACCAATAATATTTGTGTATTTGTATTTTTTTTTAAAGAAGGAATAGAACTTTAAAAACCAAGCAACGAACGAGGATAGCTCAGAAGGGTCACGCAAGAAACGTTTCCATTTCTGAACTCTCGACCGAATATTCCGAATCATCTAAAGAGGTATCTGTGTATATCTATATCTATATCTATATCTGTATTTATATATCTTATAGAAGAAGATACCGTTTTCATGTGGTTCAAGATAAACGTTAATTTGACTTTTTTAATGCATTAATTAAACCATGTTAATGTATTTAACTTATGGTGTTAAACTAAATAAATATACTAAGACTATTTTTAAAATAATAAAAAGAATTTAATTATGATGTTGTATGTAAAACTTAAATCGAATTATCACATATGGGAAATTTTCTAAGTAAGTAATTTATAGATTTGTTAACAATAACAATCGTTAAAAAAAAAAAAATTAAAATCGAAGTTTACATAAAATTAATAATGACGTAACATTGAAGACAAATGGTTGATATTTGGAACAGCCATCATGCCTGGAATTAAAAATTGACGAAAAAAATGAATTATTTATAATTAAATTTAAAATAGCATTAAATCGAAAATGATATACACTGTCACTCACGCAATACACGGGTACTACCCATTGAGATCATGTGGTTTATTTTAAACCATATAAATGTTAATTTTATTTTGTGAATCGCAATCAATCATTATATAACTATCGGCTTTTCAACTTCTAACCTTGACTTTTCTCTCAACATATATATGGTTAAGACAAGGACAATGTTTTGTACAAACTTTTTAATTTACTATAACAATTATTATTTTACGGCTAGAGCTGAGAACCAAAAAATTTGTGAGAACTTGCGAACTCATAATCACCTGATCATTTTTCAACACCAAAAATACAAATCTTCTTAAAATGGTGCTGTAAGCCTATATCTAGGCTAAAAAGAGATTTAGCGATTTTTTTTTTGTTTTTTTATATGACTGCTGATGAATACAATCAGCAGATCAATATGATAACATTTTGTCATTTCAATACTAAAGTAGACTTCTTAGGTCAAACAAACCAATTCGAAAACCGAAGATCAATATGAAATTGACTAAAATATTCAACTTTTTTTTTTAATAATTGAGTTTGATAACATTTTGTCATTTCAACACGCAGCAGGAGAAACATGTCGACAAGAACTCGGTAACCCAAGAACAAGAAACGGGTCAAAGCACAAGTAGCAACACATCAAGCAAGAGAACAAACTTAACAATGGAACCCTCCCCACCATTTACTTTAGCATTCGATTCAAATCCACCCAATAATAATCGGGCAGCAAGAACCGAAGCTCACCCAAATGCTTTAAAAAATATTAAAAACTTCCCCCTTCTACTTGCATCCATCACACAAACCGTTAATAATATGGAAGAGAATCGAAATGGTCTCAATCGTCGATCCATGTCTAATGTCGATTTTCGACATTTGGATATTGAGAAGATATCAAAGCTTTTTAATTTAGATGATCATTAGGGTTTTTTGTGGGATAATTCTTTTCTATTTTTTCTGTTGTGGTACTTTATACTATATGTTTTTCTTGGGTTTGTTTTATATAAATGAACTATAAAACCAATAAAACCAAATCATTGTTCATGTGATTAAGTGTTTTTTTTTTCTATGTAAAATTGTTGTATGATCTTCTCTTTGGTACATTTTCTTTGTAACATAAAACACACTATCGGCCAATCCAACGTCGGGGCCCGGTCAACACAAGTTTGAAAAAGGCCATGTTTGGCTAACCCGGTCTCATCTGACCTTATCTAATTTATTTAAAATAAACGGTTTGAGTTTATTAATGTTATAAATTACAATTAATATATTGTTTATATTTACGATTATAAATCGTATAGTCCTGCATAAGTGGCGTAGTTGTAAGAAGGCGACAAGTTATTAATGCATATCATTTTCTTTATGTTTCGTGAAAATTGTGATTTATCTTTTTCATGTTACTAATCAGAGATGGAGACCTTAGACTTAGAGCCACATGATAAATTTACAAACGTAAAACTTTAGTATTTATAATAAAAAACAGAATAGATAGTAATTAGAATTATAAAAATTTCAATAATTGCATCGTAAAAAAAGACTCCAAAATGGTCCGGTTTTTGTGGAACCGATTCAAGAAACCTATTGATAAAGCTTGGTTGAGGTCTTGAGGAGTAGTCCTATATGAAAAATTGCAAACAGTTCGGATACGACCCGAGTGATCCGATCATATTACCACTTGTCCAAGCCCGACCTAATCCGACCCGGTCCAAAAAACCATGGAAAAACCGCTCTATTGTGCAACTTTAGGTCGATGATTTGATTACAATCCATGGATTGCAAAACAAATTATTATTAAAACTAACAAACGGATGGCATAAGTTCTCATCCTTGATGTTTATTCATCATAAAGATAAAGTCTCCCGAGTTTTAAAAACAACCTTAAATCTACACAAACCAAACATCAAGTGACACAAAAAAGCAAAAAAGATAAAAACACAAAAAAGCCAACAAATATATGTACACACACAAGATCAAAATCAACAACTTCAAGAACCATAATTATCAGAAAATTTGTTCTTGATCCACTTGAAGCTATTCCTTAAAGAAGACTTGAGTTTTCCTTCCATGGTGTACATATTATATGAAGCCACTCTTTTCCTTCTCTTCACTTCGGGGTTTTCTCGGTCTCCGGGCCCATTGAAGCTAAACGACTTGTCTCGATCCTCAAATGCAAACCGGGCTTCAACATATGGAGTCGAGTAATTTGGAAATGATTTACTTTTCTCCATTTTTATGTGATCAAATAAGAGCTTCAAAGGGTTTAAGGAGCTGAAGAAGACCTTAACTTGAGCCACTTGTGTGTGTTTTGTTCGTGTGTGGCTCTATATATAGGACCAGTATACAAAATAATAATAGCCAACAATAAATGAAACAACTAGTTTTTTTTTTCCCATTTGGTTTTAAAGAATTAGATATCTAAAAATAACTTATTATCTACTGATTTATCTAATTATAATAATATTATCAGGATTTCGTACTTGTAATTTGAACAAACTTTTAAAAATAGAAAACTGTTGTAAAAAATAAAAATGCAATATTATAATTAGATAGATTTTACAAAATATTATTTTCTGAAACGAAAAAATTGCAAACGTAATATTTTAACGAAAAAAGCTAAGTTATTACAATAATCAAATAAATAATACCATATTGTTATTTTTATTGGTTTTAGTCCTAAATATTTAATTGACAGCTTTAGTTAAAAACAAAGATCAACTTATGTGGTTCTTTTTGGGAATAATTTAACCGTATTAAAATATACAAGAGGTATCATTAATTAACAATTATATTATTTAAATAGTATAAAAATAAATAATTATAATATAAAAATACATGGCAACTAAAGTCAAACAACTGCTACTACCTATTTCCTCCAAAAACGAGTACAATATTTGGATTTAGATTAATGTATACTCAAGTATGTTTTTTAAATAATGACCAAGTACATGATATGTCTTTAATTAACTAGACAAATTGCAATAATGTTTAGGTAACTGTCAATCTCACCCAAAAATATTTTTCTAATAATTGTTTGTGAGGAAATAGGTAGATTTTGTAACGAACAATAAATATAATATTTTGGACAATATAATATAAAAATCTTATATTTTTTAGATAGATAAATTAACAGAGTCCAAAAGGTTATAACGTATTTTAATAAGTATTACAAATGCTTGATAAAATACGTTAGATGGTACACCACCTAGCCTTAAAACATTATATCTAACCTGCACGAGTAACTACAAATACAAATATAATCATATCAACATCTATAAAAAACCGATACCAATATACACGACACATCTCAATCTATATTTATAAATCACTATTAATAAATTAATAAATAAAAGATAAAAACTTCATATATGAGATAAATTTCGTATTAAGAGAATGTTTATGAAATTCATGATGATAGATGTGAAGGAAAGCACCAAATGCATAGACACTAAATAAAGAAGTGAAGGGACCATGGTTGGGTGAGTGAATGGGACCATCGGGAGTGACTTTGATATTGACAGGGAAAGATCCGAAAGGGGATTCATAGATAATGGTTGAATGATGTATGATTTGGATTCCATTAATGCCATTTCATTTTTAATTTATTTGACCTTTTTATAGGATAACCATAAAAGTGGCGACTTTTTAATGTGATATATAACCTATAATAGAGTTTTATAAAGAGGCAACGTGGTTTTCAATTCTGGAATTAATCAAGTAGTTTATGGGTGTAAAATATATACGAAACTCCAAAAATATCATTGTGGCATACATTTTTTTTTGGATTTTGGTGTAAACTTCGATTTTTTTGGTCATTTTCAGATAGTTTCCTTACGTATTTGGTTATTCCGAATATTGAAATTACTGTAATATCCTTGGAGAATTTATTTTCCATTTTTCTTTCATTTTTTTTTTAAATTTAATACTTATTTATTATTTTGTTAATTTAAAAATAAGATCCCCCCTCTCTCCCTCTCTCTCTCTCTCTCTCTTTCTCTCTCTCTCTCTCTCTCTCTCATGGCTTTCTGATGAACATCATGAAAACCCTTTGAGTTTGTGAAATCCCACATGTGTTCTTAAACATACATCTCGTCCAAAAAATGATTTTTTGTTCATGGTTCTTGTGTTCTTCGATCTTTGGATTTGGTCTTGAAAAATGATTTCATGTTCTTGGTTCATGTGTTCTTCGATCTTCAAACTCCATTTCAGATCTAACTTAATTTCAGATTGAAGTTCATGTGTTTCATAAAATCAATTTTAGATTTTATTTAATATATCTTACGCTCACGTTTGATTTTGTAGTCAAGTTTAGGTGTGTGTTTGTGTGTGTTAAATCTAGATTTCAATAACAATTCCATATATGATCTTCATCGTGTCATCAAAATTCAAGTTAGATCTTCATTTTGTTCATCATAAACCCAAGTCAGATCTCCAACTTAATTTATGATGATTTAATGTTTTGAACACCAAAACTCACAAAACAAAACCTTACATAGGATTTTTAGACCCAAGAACACAGAACTAAAAACACATATCTAAAACAATTCCTAAACATGAAAATTGAACATGGAAAACCCATATGGTATTTGGAAAATTCCTGAACATGAAAATAAAACTTGGAAAGCCCATACGAAAACTCCACAATCGATTTATGGGTTCTTCAAACACATGAACATTTTTTTTGGGTTTTGTTGGGTTTATAAGTTCTTGCATTCTTAAGCACACACACATTAAATCCTTGAAGAAAGCAAGAGAGAACCTTACCCTTATCCCGAGTATCCATAACATAGGCGACATAACCGGAACAACCTTGCTGACAATAGTGTCTGGCCCTCGTTTGTAGCAACCATAAATTTTACGCCAAATTTAAACCTTTTCAATCATAAATAAAAACCACATAACATTGTTTACAAAATGTTTTCAAATCATTTTCCATCAGAGTGTCCTGAGGAGCGATACGGTCACGCCTTTGCCTTTCCACGATCTCCTGAAGTACCTGAAACAATAAACTGAAAACTGTAAGCCCAAGGGCTTAGTGAGCTACCCCCAAAATACCAATACCACACTGACCATACCACAACACTAATAATCAATTCAATCAACATGCATACTAGGCCATCAGCCTGACTGGACCGCCCTACCGGGCCTACAGTCTGTCTGAATCCATCCCGAGCCTTCGGTATGACTGGTCCGCCATGTGGGCCTACAGTCTCCCCGGACCGCTCATAGGGTATATTGGCCTATAACACAAAGCAGGACCGCCTCAACCCAGCCATAAGCAAATAACCATGTGCACATACTATCATATACATGCATATATACAAACATCAAACATATTTGTCACACTGATCATCAATCATAGAATTCTCCTGTAACTAGAGTACCGACCTAGCAGGTCACTGATGTGAAAACTCACTTAGTTTTAAACCTACTTTTAGTTGTAAAATAAACACACAAAGGCAGTGGACCTATCAATTGTGGTATAGTCAAATAAGTAGGGTATCGAACATAGGGAACGACAAATTAAAACTAAAAACTAATTCTATCTAAATTAATTAATAAGTAGAGGGTTTTCTCTAGTTTTACAAGACTAGAAACTTACTAACTATTACTTAATCTAAAAACTAGAAAAACAAAGAATTAACTAGATTCAATAACACAAAGGAACTTCTGTTTAGTTCAACTCAATTGATCCTATGGTTGATTTCAAGGTAATAGTGCAATGGATTAACTCTTTTGTTGGTTACCGATTCAAGTGACTAGGTTCGCATTCACTACACTAATCCTTAGTAAATAAACTAACTTAGACAGTGATCAGTTGTCTAATTCAATTTAGTTCACTAGATTAATTATCCGGATTACTTTAGACTTACAATAGTTAACCAATTTGGCTTTTAATTAACTTCTTGTTGATGGTCATCACACAAGCTTGCACATGGATTTACTTAATTTTCTTATTAATTCTAGTTTCATGTTCATTAATCTTGGACATATAACAAAGTAGTCACATGGTATATGAGGTTGATAATCAAACGATGTTCATGCTATTT